GATCTGACAATAAACCTCTCCCTGGTGTTTTACTGTCCAGACTCCTCGATGGAGGCAGTTCAGGCTCCTCACTGGCTTTGGGCTTTGCTCTGTGACCGAGCCGTGCTGAGCTGGTGTGGTTTGGGTGGCACCCAGAGGACACAACTGCTGCTCCCCTCGGGGCCTCCCTGCCCAGCTGCCTCAGTTTTTTAGGGGGTTTCTTCATCCCAGGGGACTCTGCTGGTCGCTTCCCGTGGGCACTGTCACCTCTCCCTTCCAAGTGCCAGGTGAGCTGGGACACGGGAGCTGCCTGTGCCAGGTCTGGCTCCAGCTTCCTCAGGTTATGGCAGTACTTGGAGGGGTCGTACTTCACAATGTTGGGCTGAGTTAAGGCAGCAAAACAACAGGATCCCTCCAGCAAGCAGAGTCAAGTCTTTAGGAAGGGGCTGAATTCTGTGTGAAAGGACAACAAGGAGTCTTTTTAATCTGATGCCTTTAAGCAACTGATTTGCAGTGAAAGAAACTCATCCAAACCACACAGATTATTGCAAGATTTACTGGGGGGATTCAGTAAATGAAGTCTGACATAGCAGTCAAGGTTAAGACTGTTCAGCAACTGTTTCTCCATATGACAAAAGAAGGAAGGGAATTGTGCCTGAGTTCAAACAAATAAGAAAAGGATATTTTATTTTTTTGCTGATTCCTGAGGTGCAGGACAGGCAAGACTCTGCCGAATTTACCAACAACCCACTTCTGAAAGAAAAGAAAAATAATCAGTGTTAAACAAAAAAAGAGTGGAAGTAACCCTGCAATAGAATAAGATGTTTATTCTTGGATAACAAAACCATTAATATAGAAACACCTGTGACCAATTCTCTTTTGTCTACTCTGTTAAGTGAGATATAACCACACTGTGCACCTCAGCCAGCTTCCTTCTCAAAAACAAAAACTAAAACCTACCAAAAAACCAAATTTCTACAGCCTGCAAACAGAGAGTGATAATAAAGAATTAACTTTCTTTACAGCTACTATTTTTAACATATGGATTCTGGTTTAAGAATTAACAGTGGCAACTACACAGACAGAATCACTATTATTTTGCTCTCTTCCCCTTTCCCACCAGAAACCAAAAATCCCTCCAAAACAATTCTGTGTTGTCTAAAAATAAATCACATATCCTCTTTACAAACTTTTAAGGGTGACTTGAACATATATTATACTATCCACTTATGTAAATTCCCAAGATATATGAGGAAGAAAGCACTTCCTAATTTAACACGAGGAGAGAGGACAGTGGGATCAGGATTATTTCCAGCCATTACAAAGAAGGACAGGAGCCTTCTCCTTGTCTCCACATGAGCTATTTCTTCAGCTTATTTTTTTCACAGCTTGGACTGTCACCCTTAATAATTTTCTTTACACAAGGCATAGAGATTTGGCATAAATTTAGATGCACTGGGCTTGCTTTCTGCTGGTTTAACCCTCTCACCCACCTACCCCACCATACCTTGTGCTCTGGCACCTCTGTACCTGGCACTGCCTTCATGTGGAAGTCCACAATTCCAGTCTTCTTTAGTGATTCCAACAGGCAGGTCTGGTTGTTCCTCTGTGGCTTTTCTTTCTGTAGCTTTGCCTCCTCCCTCTCCATGGCAAGCCTGCACCAAAAGGTACATCCTGCCTGAGAAGAAGTGCTGAGCCAAAGCCCACGTGCTAAATTAGAGCTGACAGGGACCCCCTCCCACAGCACAGCAGCCCCTCACAGCTCAAGGAATTAACATCTTGGCATTCCCTATAAGGGAATGAGGATCCAAATCACATTGCAGCATCAAATGTGCATCAATGCTCCACCACTGCCCATCAGAACTGAAAACATGGGAGTGCAGAAGACGAAATAACATGTAATGTTTCTATCATGATATTAACAGATAAACAGAAAAAGATTGAGCAACAATATATATTTTTAAAGCCTGATTTTTTTTTTTTTACCTGTGCAAAAAGCTTTCTTTGGCCGGCTCAATTTGCAGTGTCCCTCCTTTCCATTTTGTCTTATTTAGAACTGACATGCCTGCAAAGACAAGAGATGGTAAATGAGTATTTTCTACATTAAAAAAGCACAGCCCAGACTTCACTACACCTCCTTCTGTGCCAGGCTGAGGTTCTTTAGCACGATCTTACACCTCACTGCTCACCTGGTTAAAGGCTGTACCTGAAAGGTACCCGTAAAACTGCAGTTTAAAAGTGGAATTAATAAAACAACAGCTTGAAACAAGCTCTGCATTGACCACACACTGATGTGACAACAGTAGATGCATTATCAGTAATGCAACTTGGCTCCAAAATGTAAATAAGTAAAAGAAAAACAAGATGTACTTACACTTCCTAAGATCTGCATCAGAAATGCTGACGCTGACATAAGCAAAAGTCTTCATGGGGTTCCCTGATCAATGAGAAACATCCAGTTAATTTCATGTCATTTCACTGTTCCCTTTAAAACTGAAGATGACGCTATTTCCTGAATATTAAAGTGCCTCTGGAGCAAACATTCTATTTCACGCTTCAAAGCGAAAAGCAACGAACTCACAAAGGATGAAGTAAAACCATTACCCTGATCATCTTTTCTGGTAATAATCTCCGCATCCAAAACACGCCCGAACTTGCCAAACCTTTCTTCCAGTTCAGCCTTGGACACCGTGTGGCCAAGCCCCCCGACGTACAAACGTTTGGACACCCGTTCCTGGTCCATGCCGAGAAATCAGAGTATCCACACACTCTGCTTTCCTGCGGGGAGACAAGAGCAGCTCAGTGACACTGGGGGGCTAACGCGGAAGCCACGAGGGGTCCGGTCCCGGCCCCGCCGCCCCCCGGGGCTCCCCCCGCGCTGCCCTCACCGCCGCCATGTGCGCTCCCCGCGGCGCCGCTCCATTCACCTTCCCCCCAGCGCCCCTTCCCGGCCCTCGCGCGGCACTGAAGGGTTCCGCCTCCTTGTGCAGCCGCGCTCGGAGAGGTTCATGTTCCCGGCCGGCCGCCTTGTGCTGGGGACACGCGGGCTGGGCCCTTTAAGAGCGCTCGCTTGGGGCGTAACCAAGCGGGAGAAAAAGCCGGGGGTGCTTTCCTCAAATACTCCAGCGGAAATTAACACAAAAAGGGCGAACCGCCTTCAACGTAACGCTTTTCCCTTTCGTCTCTTACACGGAACTCTGGAGCTGCGTCTCCAGCGGCTCTGTCCTTTCAGAAGGAGCGGGGAGGGAGGCGTGGCCGGTGCCCGTCTCCCCCCCCCCCGCTGGGGCAGCAGCTGTGGTAGAGCCCCGGGCGCGCGGTTCGAAAGGCGCGGCGGGTCCGAGCGCTTCGCTCCTCCCTCACGGCCGCGTTCGGGTCCGGGTCCGGGTCCGGGTCTGGGTTCGGGTCCGGGTCCGGGTTCGGGTCCCATCCCGACTCCTCCTCCCTCCTCTCCCGGGTCCTGCCGACCCCTCCCGGAGCCGGGCAGGTACGTAGAAATGTGAAAAGCGCTTTGTGTGTCTTGTTATTGCTGCGAAAAGAGGGGTCAGCAAAACTGGGGGGAGTTCTGGCTCCTGGAAGGTTTTTTTTCTTTTTTCCCACCGTGATCTTTATTACCACTATAACTTTCCTCACTGTATCCAATTTGAAAAAAAAAAAAAAAATCCCCCGAAATTAATAGGGTGCATTTAGAGTTGAGAACTTATATGTTGTCATTTAATGCATAAAATTGCTTCAACATTTCAGAGTCAGTTATGATTAGCTACAGTCTTGGCGATTCTTTAGTTGCATAATCTTTCTTTACTCACTGAGTTTTTTAATGCAAAACATTTTTTAATGTTGCTTTCTCGTAAGTCTTATTCAGACGGTGTTTCTTATGAAATAAACAAACCAAATCCTGCTCTCCCCTCATCCCTTTTTATTGAACAACTTTAGTGTGGATCTTGCAGGTGCAATAGGGATGGTTTAAAAACACGTGAAGTCAACTTGTGTTTTTTTGGTTTTTTGTTTTTTTCCTGGTTGAAACTATTAATACATCGGTGCTGAGCTGCATAATATCCTCTGCAGTCCTCTGAATGTGTCAGGTCTGGCCTCGATGTCAGATTATTATTTATTATTATTATTATTATTATTATTATTATTATTATTATTATTATTATTATCATCTCTGGAAATTGAGGTTTATTTATTTTGAATTATTCGTGAAACGTGGTTGCAGTTTGTGCCTCTTTGCTGGTGTTTAATCACAAGGCAGGTGGTGCTGCCGTGTCGGGGGCAGCTGTGCCTCCTCTCACCTCGTCAGTGTTGGGTGAATTGGTCACAGCTGCATCCCATTTTTAGGTCTGATTAGGGCTGGGTTTTACCTGTAGAGCAGCAAATTTAAACCAGCTCCATCTGCTCCTGGATCAAGTCATGATGAGTTAAAAAGATCCTTAAAGCCTTTCACCTCATTATCTTCTTAATTTAACTTTGTCTTCAGAGGCTGTGCAGTGATCTGTGTCTTAAAATTATTTTGGCTTTGACTGGATTCAATTAATTAATTCTTTGAGGAATCAATGCAAAAAAATCAAAATTTTTTTTTGAAGAAAATTTTGTTTTGAAGAAAACTCTCCTTTTTTTTTTTTCCCCTGTGTAAAGTCAGAGATTTATTCTTTGTCACATCCCTGCCGATACCTGGGAGCCAAAGGGCTGATTTTTCCTGTTGCTGGTGCTTTTAGCTGAGTTGGTTCCTAAGGATCAAGGTTCAAATATTAGTTTAATCTTCCATAGCAAACAGAGTTCTTTATGGAGGTATAAATTACTGTAGGTGTCAGAGCTACCTGGCATGTTTAAAACCTGTATGGACCAGTCTTGCAGTTTTCAAAAAAGATAATGTTTTAATTAATTTGTTTCATTTTAAGTAGAGGGGTAGGAGAAACAATTGCCTAATGTTACATTTGCATTTTTTAAAAAATTAATTCTGTTTGTTTGTTTGTTCCTGAGAAGTATAATTATTTTGTTTTGTGGAGTAACACTGGTTCTGAGAAATGGACGACAACGTTTGTCAAGTTTATGAAGCTGAAATCCAGGCACTGGAAGAAGAAATAAAACTACTGACAGAAAAATATGAAGATATCCAGCAAGAGTCCACCTTTTTTTCTGAGGAGGAGATACTGAAGTCAATGTATGCCTTTTTTCACACATTGCATTAATAGTGCTTCTTTGCCAGAATTGTTTGGGATAAGCTTTTGCTTCTGTGTTAGGACTTCCCTTATTTTTACAGTGCTGATTTTGTTTAGAAAATGAGCTATATAGGGAAAAAAAAAAATATTTGATCGATTTTTGCTGCTTTCTGTTGGTGGTTTTTAGGGTTTTGCTTTCTTTGTCCTTTAAAAAGCAGTCAGAGCATGATGTCAGGGGTGTTACTGTGGGAGCCCTGCAGAGCTGTTGACTGCAAAGGCCACATTTCCATTGTGCCCCGTGAAACAGCTCAGGGTGTGTTTATTTGGGAAAAAAAGATGGAGGTGTGACTCGTTATGTGCTAAAGAAGTACCACTTGTGGCTTTTAAATTCCGTTATTTAAGTGATATTTAATAGTAAGTGTATAATCCATGGACAAAATAAGGCATTTGGATGAGTAAAGGCATCTCAGCTCATTTTTATTGGATGTTCCTTGAAATGGACATTTGCACCTCCAGATTTGTAATAAAGGCTGTGCCTACCTGGCAGTGAACAGGAAGTGTTGATGTAAATCTGAATAGTTTGCTGTTCCCAGCGATATAATCCAACTGAGATTTGACTCCTTGAAAAGTGATCTTGGTCTGGGAACCATCAGATCACATTTCAGTTGCCTCTTATTTTTATTATATTATATTTATTATTTTATTATATTACTTGTACTGATGTGACAAAACATGTCCTCCTGTCCAGCCCTTTGGCCCTTTTGATTATTTTTTTTTCTTTTTCCATTCTAGGAAATCGTTCCAAAGAAAAACACAGGGAGAATCCCAGGGACATCAATCTCCGTCAGACCTGAAAGCTCAACTTGAAAGTCTAGAAGCAGATCTGTCATTTTTGATGAAACTTACTGGTTTGCAGTTCACAAGTCATTCCAAGAAAACAGTGGAAAAAAGTAAGGAGTTTGGTGCCCTTTTCTGCACTGAGAATATTGGTGTAGTTCATTACATCTGCAAACCTATGTTGTAATTCTACTTCCAGTGTTAGCAGAGAGACAATTATTTTGAAATACAATGAGATTTTCTTTATTGACAAAACAGTTTGAGTAAATATTGTGCTTTGCATAGTGGGAAAGTGACAGAGAACTGGGAAATCTGTTGGGTTTCTTTAAACAGGTTTAATTCTTGATATGATGGCTGGTATCAGTTGGTACTTTAAATATGACTGAGGGAAGAAATGCAGTAATAGTGGAGAAGAATTTTAATGGATTATTTTTTTAACTTCTATTTCATAACAGCTAGAGACAGAACAGTGCAGAAGCACAGGTTGTCTGGGAATTGTTACTCCCTGTCTTTTCAACTGGAATTCCAGCTTCAAGAAATGCAGGTAAGGATCAATGTATGTTAAAAAAAAAAAAAAAAAGGCAACTACCAAACAAACAAAAAAACTTCAAATGGACAAATGTCATTTGAATTTGACTGGACTGACAATAAACTGCCTTGTTATGTCAAGGTGCCGTTCCTCATCTTAAGAAAAATCATATTATGAATTTGGAAATTGATTATTTAATAGTCACTCGTGGATTGCATCACTTGAAACTTCAGGACTTCAGCTGACAGAGGTTGTTCTTCAACCTCTGAGGTCCAAGCGAGACTTGAAACTCGCGGTCCTTGAGATGCCACTGGACCATTTGCTTGTCTAAAACTCATCTTTGAGCACAGAAACAGCCTGCACCAGGCACGGGGCTTGGTGAGATGTTGGTCCCTCTCTCAGCTGCATCTCCTGCAGGACGACGACATCTCGTGGCGTCAGCGGAGCTCAGAGGAGGAATGGGGTGTTAATTTAGTGTTAACGGCGTTGGTGTCACTTAAAGCCATCGCACCACTGTGTGGCAGCATTTGGCTGCCCAATACCCGCAGTCTGGGCTACACGAGCGCTGAGGTCACCAGAGGGAGATAAGGAATACCCGGTGAACAGAAATTTTTTTTAAAACCCACTTGAAAAAGCGTAATTTTGAGATCACTTTTTGATGAATTATTTTTCTCTCGTATAAGCACGTGGCCAGCTCTAATTTACACCGTCTGCGTTGCATATTGAACTGGATCAGTTCACCTGAAGTTTGGATTGCCACTGTTTTTGTGCATTTGTGTGGTGTGGGTGATGGAGATGTTGTGGAAAATGGTTAATTGCTTGAGCAGACACCAGTGAAGAGTACAGTTTTTAACTGGGCCATAATACATAAGTTTTGGGGTTTATTTGTGGTGTTACATAGCCGAGTCAAGAAGTGCACTTGCTGTTTCAAACAGCTGGTGACAGCTGATTTTAGGAGATGCCCAGCAGGTATCAGGTACCTTGGTTTGCAGCAGCAAGTCATGAACAGTTTTTGGTTTCTTTCACACTGTTACCTGTAGCTGTTTGTTCTAGTAGTCAAGTTACAATACAGTTAACTCAGCTCCATGGGATTAGGAGAAGACATGTACAACGAGCTTGAAAATGTGCCAGAACAAGAGCTTTCCTTTTAAATCTTTTTGTTTGGCCCCAAGGTGGCGTTTTGGGGCGTGTTAGTGACCCACTCCTTGAGAAACCAGCTCCTCCCCAAGGCACGTGGTGAACCTTCTGCTCTGACCCTAAAATGATTTTCCCTGGTGTCACTGAGTCAATCCACTAATCTTTGTAGTGCCTTGGTTTGCTTTTCCCCTCTTTAGTGCTGGCAGTGTTGGCAGCGCTGCTGTCCAGCCAGTGCAGATGGCTGAGGTGTGGGTGCATTTAACTCCAGCTTGGCTGGTTTCCCATTGCCACTCCCATTTGCTTGTAGTGACTGGGTACAAGAAAAATAAAGTACCAAGTCTCCAGTTTCCAGTGAAGCATTTGCTGTGTTCTTCAAACCCTGATTTTTAAGCTTTTTCATTCACTGTTACCTAATCCATTACTCTGGTGTGTTCAAGGATGCACAGAAAAACAGCACTGACTTAATTTGTGGCTTTCTTTCTAATCTCTGACCTTCTTTTCTCCTTTTTAACAGGTTGTTATATATTTTTAATTTAGAATAATTTTGTTTTTATTATCATGCACACATTCCTGAGCAGCAGTTATTATTGTAAAAAGGGACAGGAATTTGAGGCAAAACTATAGGCTTTAAAAAAAATAATGAAAAAAAAAAAAGGAAAACTAACAGATCAAACCTTATATTTGATTTTTCTGTTATATGTGGCAGCTAGGGGCTGTGTTGGAAAATGAGAAGAATCTTAAAGAAGTGAACTTGACATGAAAGGAAGCTGATGAATGTTCTTTTATATATATATTTTGTCTATGCTGCCAAATTCAGGTGTTATTCCAAAAGCCTTGTGTTGTTAATACTACTCCTGTTGACATGAAGGGAACTGTCCACACATACAAGCTATAGTTTAAAAAAAATTAATATTTTAAGAACTATAGCACTTAGAAAAAAGTATATGTAAATGCCTCTATTTTATATGCAGATAGACATCTATATTTTTTTCCTTCCTAGAGGAATTTCTAAAATAGTTCATTGTTACTTCTCCAATCTAGAGCAAAGAGAAGGTGTCTTCTGTTGTCACTAATCTCAACATTATAATGGAATCTGGAGAGGATTCTGGTGTGAGCAAGTTTGTGTCAAGGTAAGCTGGAATTGTTTGCTCCAGGGAAGTTCCTTGTGTGGGATGTGGGATATGAAATGCAGTACTGAGTTTTCCTGTAAATTATTGTTTTTGCTGTGCCAGGCACCCTTAGCCCAACCTAAACCCTTCCAGTCCCTTATCTGTATCCTGGAGAGAAGATGAAATGCATATAATTTTTAAGGCCTGAAAGGATTTTAAATTCATATTAAACAGAAAGAGTTCTTGGGTTATAATGTGTTTTATAGCTGTTTGAAATTGTTTGCTTCAGGGAAAGGTATAAGAATGTAATCTCAGCTATTGCATTTTAATGCATGTGAGTTGCAGATGTGCAGGGTGGGTGAGTAATAAAGTGCACATCCAGAACCCCTCTCTAGCATTTGCCTGTTTCTGGTTCTCTCAGCTCCCCATTCCATTTCTCTTTGTATCAGGATTTATTTCACTGATGTTTGAAAACAATAGAATGTAGTTTAAAAACCTGGAATAGGTTATTTGTGCAATGGCTAAAGAAAATTGACATACTAAAACTTAGGTTTATGAATAAATGCTATATTTTTTATTCTGGAGTATATCAACTTCTTGTGGTAACATGATTAATGAGCAAGTTATTTGTGTGCAGTATATTCCCCTGAATTCTGCTAGCAGGCTGTTCTGGGAACAAATCTATTATTTCTGGGTAATTGACTTAATCCTGTTCTCTAAGTGATTTCTTTTGTTTTGTGTTATTTTTTGAGGAGGGAGAGGGAAGGCCAAAAGCTGAGTGAAGAGAAAGATCTGTTGAGTTACCTCAGGCTTCAGGAGTCTGTACTGAAAACTGAATATTTTTTAACTCAGAGGCTCGGAAATTTCCATATAAACCTACTAAAGGTGGTGGTGTAACTGAGAAGAGTAGCTGATTGCTCTCAGGGATTTAGAAGAGGAAATTGCCCTGTTTTTATTCATGAGTTTTTTTGCGACAGCAGGAGTGTGTTGGAACTTCACAGTCACACTGGGAAGGAATGTGGTGAAGTGGTGGCAGACTTGACTTCATCCTGGCTGGAGCCCTGCTGTCTTGTCCCTGTCTCTTCACTACCCTGCTCCTTTTCCACACTGCACCAGTGTTCATGAGGGCACACAATTTCCAGGAGTGATAAAAGATGTCAGTAAATCAAGCAGTGCTTTCTGCTGAGCCTCTCCTTCCACGTCTCATCCCTTGACCTTGTGTCTGTCAACTCTTGAAGCCACAGGATCATTTGGTTGAAAAAGGAGCTGGAGGGTGGGGGGTGACCCAACCTTGTCCCCCCATGACACCTTCAGCTTTCAGTTTTCCTGTTTGGCTTGTCCTGCAACGTCACAATGTCTGCTGCCAATCTGAGGCAGTAAATAGGTGGGGCTGATGCTGACAGGGCCTGTTTTGACAGCAGCCCACTGTTCCATGGACTGGTTCTGCCTTAATGCTGTTCTCTCACTCCCCTTGTTCTCGTTTCTCTCAGTTGTAATCCCCTCCAGTCCAGTTTCAGGCTTTTCCCAGCTCACTCTTTGTTCTCCAGTCTACCAACTGCTCTTGGAATCTCTATTCCTACATCTTACCTCTTTTTCCCTCCATTCTCAACCAGCTAACTCTGGTTTCCCTCTCTATTATTCCTTCTTTTCAGCCTCCCTCCCACTTTGTTTTCTTCTTTTGCTTCCTTGGTCCCATCTTGCCAAATCCATTGTCTAGCTCTGTTCTGTTTTGTCTCCTAGCCTGGATTTTTTCCCTCCTCGGTTTTCTAATTTTTTTTGGCTTCAATTTTTTTCATAATGCACGACAGAAAAGGATCTTTAAGAGCAGTGTTGTAATTCCCAGGCCCTTCCTGCTTTGGAAGAAAACAGGGGAATGCTAAGAACACCTCCTAAAGGAAGCAAAATTCAGCAGTCTGGTCTCAACCAGGTACTGCTGCAGTATATAAATGGTGCATCTATATATAAAAATGGCACATCTTCTATTTTTATATAATTTCTTTAAAAATTTTTGTGGCAATAAGAGATGTATGCAAATGGAATCACGATATTTAGTTGTCTATTTTTGGGTTTTACTTGCGTCCCCTTTGCACCAACTATCACTTATGTTATACTTTATTTTTGAGAACCACAACATGTAAGAAAACTATTGTTGGTCATTTTTTTCTTATTTTTTTTTTTTAGCATTTGTTGTAGTTGACTTCAGCCTGAGAAATTAGACTAACTTAGGCTAATTAGGAATTATTGTTTATGGGTAGTTTAAATGCTGGGAAATAGTTAACTGAACTAAATCTTGAATTTAGCTGTTGCTATATGAGACAGGTACCTACTCAGCTATAATTGGTCGACTAACTTTTACCTTTGAAACAGGTTCTTTGAGCTTGTAGCCAAAACTAGTGCTTTCTGCTTGAAACTCTCCACCTGCTTCATCACCTAAAAATAATTTCAGGGGAAAAAAAAAGAAACAAAAATGTGATGCTAAAACGAGGCCACGAAGTTTATGGTTGCCTGTTGAACTGCATAAAAAAATGGATATTCAGAAAAATTGCCAGACTTTTTTAAAAAGCACTTGAAGGCTGTAGTTTTGTACCCCAGTTTTGTGTGGCAGGTGTGTGGGTTTGGAGAGCTCAGTGCAGGTTGTGTGTGGAGTTGTGTCCCCAGGCAGGTAGAGAGGGGCAGTCATTGCAGGGTCTCCGTTGTTGCTGTAGGATGTGAAGAGTTGGAGATGTGCAATTACGAGTTGTGGTTGAAAACAGCTTCCCAGAACAGAGCTGATGAGCTCCTGTAAGCCAGTGTGGCTGTTCTTCCAGGCACTCAGTTTTCCTGGTATTGCCAGATGTTGGGTTTTTTTTTTTTCATTTTGGCCTGGTTTTGTTGGCAACTCTGACTGCTGTGGTAACTTCCTTTACTGATGCTGTTCTTTCCAAGCTGAGATAAAACTTGTTTGGCTTTTCTTTTGCATTTTCATTATCTGAATGACCCCAATGTCTCGTTTTTCAGTATGTTTGTGTAACATGTTAAAGGTTGCTGTCCCTGTATATTAGAGCTGGATCTTAGGCACAGTTTTCCCTGGAATGGCTGAAGTGACTTGGCAATGCACTGTTGCAACCATCCTGTGAATGCCTCGAGCTTCTGCTCTCAGCTATTCTGAAATAAAGAACAGCTAATCTCAAGCAGAAAAGATGTTAAAAGGCAAATTCACATTTGGAATTTAAATACTGTGCCACTTCTTGAACTATTCCCAGACGGCAGACAGGGATTTCCCTCAGTCAGGTTTTGTAAACTTTGTCAAGTCCTGTATTAGAAATCGAAATAAATCTTTGTATTTTCCAAGCAGTGCTTGCCCAGGTGTGTTTTGACAGTGGTTAATAGTCTGCTGCATTTGACTGTGGCTTGTTATCAGCACAGACATGCAGCTGTTCACCCTTATGGTTAAATATGTTGCTGCAGGTATTCTGGCATGTAGTTTTTGTGGAATTTTGTGTCCTTTACATCCTTGCCTCACTTCTCCAGTAAGAACTGCACACACTTTGAGTGTTATTCCTCCTTCCCCTGACAACACCGCATGGATGGTTGACTGTCTGACAGTTCCTGTCACTTTTATATTCATTGTCTCTTTTCCTTTCTCCATCTTGATCCTTACATTAACAGAAATCTGAAAAAATATTATTGAAAAATAAGTATTTTGTATTTAACTCTCCTTTTTCCCTTTTCCTACAACGTAAGAAGGATAGAGATGTGTCGGAGTGTATCCAGAGGAGCACCATGAAAATACTCTGAGGGCTGGAGCCAGGCTGGGAGAGCTGGGGGTGTTCACCTGGAGAAGAGAAGGCTCCAGGGAGATCTTGGGGACCCTTTTAGTGCCTAAAGGGGCTCCATGAGAGCTGGAGAGGGACTTGGGACAAGGGCCTGGAGTGACAGGACAAGGGGGAACGGCTTCCCACTGACAGAGAGCAGGGTTAGAGCGGAGACTGGCAAAGACAAGGTGCAGATTTTAGGCTGTAGAATTGATACATCTGATTAAGATTGGGTTAAACAACATGCTTTTGTTTTGCAGCGTTGAAGAACACGGAAATCTCGTGACATTTTTCAGAAGCCTTTCAACCTACGCCGAGTGGTACGAGCACCGCAGACGCACCTTCCTGCACTTCAAGGTAGGGTCTGTCAAGCCTTTATTTATTATTGTTTATCAGTACTATATTTGTTTCTTTGTGGTTCATTAAGACAAAGCATTGGAGGTGAAACTTGCACTCTTTAGCAGAATATGGGCATCTGAAATTTGTACCTTGTGGAGAAGAGAATATCAGCTAAAAAAATTGTGTCGTGTTCAAGGGACGATGCCTTTGCTTGGTTTTTTTAATCCCAATTGTTACCCTGCTATTGCCATGTTCCTCGTGGGTGGGGGAAAAATTGGAATGCCTGTGCCTTTCTCTGAGGGAGTAAGACAGTTTTTCATTGGTATTAAATTTTATTTTGATGGGGGGGGGGAAAAAAGCAAAAGAAGAAATGAAAAGAAAATAACACTTGTAGTCTTTGGCATGTAAACGTCGGTTTTGAAGGACTGGATCTGTTCCTCTTGAAGATGTGGCAGCCTGTGTTTGGATGACAGTGCTTCGAGTTCTGAAGTGTTTTACTTGCATGGGAAATCAACTGTTGCTCCCTCCTAACTGGAACGTAGTACTTGGACTTAGTTTTAAATTGCCGGCATTCGGCTTGTTTGGTTTGGCTTTGTACTGGTTTTAAGATAAACAATTAATCCTTGGAGTAAAAATACTTCGGTCTTACAGACACAAAACATCTTACACGGGGCTTAATGTTAGAGGAGGATGTTTATGTGCTTAATTATTTGTGGTTTTTTAGTTCAGTTTTATTTACCTCAGGCATTTACTCTCATTGAACCCAGCTCCGTTTTTACTTTTTAGCTGGAGTAGGAAGTGGGAACTGCATTGTTTCCTATTTTTTGAATCTTTTAGGCCTTTGAGTTCTGTGCCAAATTAATCAATTTCTAGTATCAAATCAACCAGAACAGAGGGGAAAAAGTACTATTGTCTGATAATGTTAAAAAATAATCCTGTCCTCAGCTGAGCAATAAACTGATATTGTCTAATCCTGCTGGCTGTTGAATAAAGGCTTTTCTTTAATCCCTCCATAGAAAAGGTAGAGCACCAGGGGCTTTATGGCTTTGTGATTGTTATTTTTCAAGCTTTACTTGATGCTTTTTGATCCTTAGATGAGCCTCCTGACAGCAGTCACTGTGGTTTCTGGGACAGTGATTCAGTAAACTCCTGGAAATATTTCTCATTTTAAAATAAAATAAAATTTAAAAAAAAAAAAATTAGAAAAAAAAAGAAAAGAAAAAAAAAGGAAAATGGAAAGGAGGAAGGTTTGGAGATAATTTTTACTCACAGAAAATTGTTGTGTATATAAGCGTTTTGAAAAGTATTTATTCAGATGTTGAGTGTAAGTAATGAAGGGATCTATTAACTGCTAAAAGATGTGTGAACATAAATTTCACTCAAGACATTTTACAGGTTTGTCTATATTAGAGAAATTCTTTCTAAAGGTATTTTTATTTCCATGGACAGAGATGCTGTTGAGAAAGGCAATTTGGGGGAATATTTACCAAGAATGACTGACTATGTGTTTATGAAGAGGGGTTTTAGGTCTTCTTATTTCTGCTAGCATTAATAATCATTTTATTTAGAAACAGGAGACATTCTCAGGTAAGAGAATTAATAAAGGCTTCGAAGATCAACTCTGACAATTCAAATAAGCAGATTGTGTAATTGTAACTTAATATTCTATAACAATTTGTGTGGAAGCAACTAGAGGTATGTTTTTACCATATGCATAAAAACAACTGAAAAGTCTTATCCTGGTAATGTTCACACTCACACAAGATTAAAAATTAGTCTGTTATCTTTGTATTGGGGTTTTTTTTTGGGGGGGGGGGGGGCTGTTTGTTTGTTGTTTTTTCTCCCCAGCCTGCTCTCTCTACTCCAAATGTACAGGTAGGTAAATGTGCACTGCATTGGAGACACTATTTGGGGTGGAGTCTTGGCTTTACAGCTTTTCTAAGATTTAAAAGAAAATTCCCCGGGCTTCCAAGTAGAAATAGACAGTTTCTGATACTTTACTTTTGGTTTTAAACCACCAAATTTTTCCTTTCCTGTTAGTTTTTGTACTTGAAAAGACATCAATAATGTAGAAGTGATTGAATACTTCAAATAGTACTGACTGTTTGAGATGAATGGCAATTCAAAGTAGCGCTTTAAATAGATTTTAGAGGGGTAAATGAAGGATTTGTATGGCAGGTCTCACTGTGTTGTCATAATAAATATTATTTCTGCAAATAGAGTTGCAGCTGCAAATAATTTTCTGATCTTCATCTGCTGTGAGGCTGGACAATGAGACAGGTTGGCAATGCTGGGAGAGCAGATTGTTGAAGCTGATACGGATAAACAAGAAAAAAAAAAATTCAAGTTTTATTGGAAATACAGGACAGAAACGAGTGATAGGAAAAAAACAGAATGGTTTACATTCAGCTTGATACATTCAGCTTGATATTAGTACTGGGCACACAAACAGGAGGTGGAAATCCTCCCTGCTGAAGCCCTTCTCACTTCTTGTTTTGATTATTTACCTTGCTATGGATGGGGAAAGGAAATTAAAACACATCAGATGACTCACTGCCTGTGTGAGGCATTCAGAAGGTACCAGTTGTGTGCTTTTTGGTTTGCTCACAAAGTATCAAGATCCTTATTTAGCATTACTGGTGATAATTAGCACATTTCAAAAATATATACAACATTTTGATGTCGAATGTGGCATTGTTTGGTCTCAGAATGTTTGCTTGTGTGTGTCTATATTACAGAGCTCTGCATGTGTTTGTGTGTACACATATAATTGTTTTCACAGAAGACTTTTGGTGATATTTATTGATCCTATTAATACTGGAAAGAGCTTTTCTTTTTTTTTTTTCCCCTTAGTAATAATGATTTGTGATGAGCAAAAGATCAGAGGCCACTACTTACGTAACTCAGAGGAAACACCCAGCTGTGTTTTCTCCATCTTAGGCTTTTGTCGTGAGAGGAATGAGAGAATTGGTGGCTTTTGTTTTTCCCCTGTATAATTTTGGCTCGAAATTGGAATGTGTTTTTACATGCTTTGGAGTTTATTTTTAAGCTTTTGCTAAAAACCTGGAAACATCAAAATTTTATGACTTACTTGGAAAAATTAAAACCAAGGTATTACTGTCTGACTTGAGTTTTGGTCTGGGCTGTGTTAAGGCAACGGAATTTCTTGTTCTACCAAGTAACTTAAAATGGAAAATCCTGGGGATTGCTGTGTCCTTTCTTGGGTAGTGGGTTCAGGGCAAAGAATATTTTTTTGTGCTGCATTTCATGATTGCATCCTCCTACCAGAAAGAGGAGCCCACAGTTGATGCTTGACAAAGTTGCTTAAGAACCGATTGAAAGTCTCTTAGGCCTCAGCACTGAGTGACAGAACATCAGAGTGTTCAGAATGAAGTGGGCATCGATTCCCCAGAGCACAAGCACTAACAGATCAAGGCTTAGCTAAATAAGATAAATAAAACTAATACAAAATATCTTGTACAATCAGTATTCTAGATGTGCTGATACATCATCATGCATTTGATGCTTAACTATTTCTACAAATTAGGAATCTATACTAGCTTCAAACTTGGAGTTGATGTGGCAGTAGGAACTAGCACACCTTTGGCATTCACACCTGTGGTAGATATTGGAGGGGAGAAACAATGTCAGAAGTTTATAGTTGTGTAATTAAAAATATTGTGTTCCTATATCAGTTATGTCTAGTTTTAGATAAACTGACTGTCAAGGCCTGCATACTCAATTTGTGTTTTTAATACACTGCATGGTTTAAAGTAGTTGACTGAAATGTTGCTTGAAGTTAACTCTTTTTTTAGATTAATGATAGAATCGGCTTCTCTTTTAAATTTGAAAGTCTGATTTAATTTTTCCCTAATGAGCAGAAGTTGGACAAGGGTAATTCTGTTTCTTCTCACTGACACCTAGCTGAAATCATTCTTACTTATAGGTAAAAAACTTGAATTCAGCTTGCTGTTAATGACATTGTCACAGTTCCTGTAAGGAAAGCTGTGGATCAAGGCTCAGTCTCCATCATTCATTGATAGGTGAGATATTTGAGTCATGCAATGCTGGACTTTGACCATTGTGTTAAAATGGGAAACTGGTGTTGCAAAAACAGCTCTTGTGAGTACAGCTCAGCAAAAACTTACCTATTTCACTTGTGTAAAAATAAACCCTCTGTATTTATACATACACATTCTTAGATGATTTTCAAGGCAAAACAGCAGAAGGAGATTTAACACAACCTTGAAAAGTTCCAGTTGCTGTATTGCTTGGTGAACTAAAACTTAATAGGAATCATTCTCATTTTCCACAAGCCAAGTTTTTAAGGAAGCTTTAATGAATTTAAGCTTTGAGGAGTTCTGTTTCTAAACATAACTTTCTTTGGAATGCATCTTCATCCAATACACTTCTGAAGGTCAGCTGAAGAGATTTCATTTTAGATTAAAAGAGCGGCATTGGAATTAAAAGAAGGGTTTTTCCTGTGTAGCTTGCTCCAAGTGTTCTGCCTTTATCAGAAAGTAAAATGTGGTGACTGTTCTGAGTGCTGGCAAAGAATGTGAACAAGCAGTTACTGTGTGATTTTTACCTGCACAAAAAGAGTACGTGATGAAATAAAGGTTGAGATGTGTGTGCATACATGTATTTTTACGCTTTCATTAACAGAAAAGATTCTGAAAGCAGTGACACCGTAACTATTGAATAAAGTGACATGTTTAGAAATAGTTATTTCAGAGCAGACCCACACTTCAATGCCGTGGCAGGTTCTGGGTATGCAGGGAAAACAGCATTACTGAGGGACAGTAAATGGAGAAAGAAACGATCCCTTGTTACCACGTGTGAGTTCTGGCCTGGGCAGTGACAGAAGCAGGGGTTAGTAGTACGTGCCCACGGGCAGCATCCTCAGGCAGTTGAAGGCATTGACGTGCTTGGCCAGGACGATGGGATTGCCTTCCATCCTGATCTCGTCCATCCGCGTGCGGATGTACCGCGTGTTGTTGGACTTGCAGAACGTGTCG